TAATATCAAATTGAGGAAGAAACAACTGATTTCAATCAAAATGTACTTATGTTAATGTTTTTGCCCTAATAAAATAAACAAAAATAGGATTATTTCTTTCTTTCTTTCTTTCTTTCTTTCTTTCTTTCTTTCTTTCTTTCTTTCTTTCTTCCGTTCTTTTTTATTTAAGAGAGATTTTTGCTTTAGGGAGTGAGTGCTCACTAGAGAGACTAAGAAAGACAGAGACAGGAAGAGAGAAATCACCCCATGGCGGGACGGCCACGCCACAATCCCTTCCCCTTTAGTCTTTTGGGATTTGGGGCATGGACACACAAGCATCTGGTGTGAATTTTAAGCTGGCTAGTCCGAGACTTGAACCGCAGCATACTACGTGGGAGTCCAATTACGTAAGCATTATGCCATCTGCTTGCCCCCAAATTGGATGATCTCCAAAAGAAGAGATTGCACTATTCCAATCAACTAAAACAAAAAGAAAAATCAACTGGTGTAAGGAAAGTGCTTTGTTGTAAGAATATCTAACATGAAACAAGTGAAGGTTTTCGGGGAATATTAGCTTGTGTCTGCCATCTAAACAATTACCGGTGTTCTCAGGTTATTTTCTTTTTTCTCTCTTTGGACTCACTAATACTGTTTTGAAGAATTTGGATAATTAGAAGTAGAAGAATGAAGTAGTAGCAGGAGCAAGAAGGAAGGGTAAATATATTCTGTCATTCTTTTTCTACGTGTGTTGCTTAGACTCTGAAATTGTATTCTGAGACATCCTCTTTTCTCTCTGCTCTATAAACTGTTAGAAGCATCTACTTTAAGGCTGTAAAATATAAAAACAATATGAAAATAATACTCTGACCATTTTCTTAACTTGAAAAACAATTTGGCTTTGTAAAGATCAAGTATTACAGATAGCTCACTATAAAGCACTCACATTTTTACCATCAAGATAAAATAATTACCCTATAGAATACATGAATACATCTTTTTTGTTGATGCTAAATTTTGCAAGTACAGATGAGTGAATGTTATGATTCCTGTTTGGAGACAGCAAAACAGCAAACAATCTAATCAAACTAAGATATAAAGACAAATCTATTTCTAATTTAAGACAAAATTATTTCTTAGAGTGGGCCTTCCTGTTTGTACACTTATTGTCTTCTAGATTTTTCTGAGCTCTTGGGTTGTCAGAAAACTCAGGACATATTTTTCTATGGTTTTCTATGCAAAAATGTATCATGACATTTCCAATGACCTAATGTTTGATATAAAAGCCTGATTTCATGTAAAAATATATT